TGAATTTTTATTTTAGAAAACTAACAGACGCATCCTTGGACATCAGGTATATAGCACAGCCTATTGATTGCTTGATGAAGCAGTGGTCAAGCATTTAGTGTGTTTACCATAAAGTACAATTAGCGTTCAGTACGTTTGGTCACTTGGGAGTCTTAACGAGCACAGAGTTTTATTTGATTAGATTCATTTAATCTAGCCATTACTGTTCAAAACAAGCAACATGAAGGACTTTACAACAAAACAAACGCTTGGAGCATTGTGATTAATGCAAATAATCGAAAAAAAACTTTAAAATACAAAAATATAAAAAAAATATTTGGGTAGTATTAGTAGCTACAACAAAAAATCAAGTCTCAAAATGAATATTTTTGTCTAAATAATGTTATATGATTTAAAACAACCTTCTAAAAAATCTCAAAAGTGGCTTAACAATTGATATGCAACCACCTTATCCAGAGAGTGTGACCAGTTCAGTGATACCAAACATTATGGATTGATAAATATATAGCAACCCCTTTGTTTGTTTATAACATTGTAAAGTTTATTTGGGAATGGCTAAACCCCGCAAACCTCCAAAAAAACATTGTATAGCACAACCAAACCACATGATTGTGATTTTATCATGTACTAGAGGACTCATTTGGTATCTCAATAAAGAATTAAATAAGTTTATGTTCATAAGAAAATATTTTTGGGGTAAAATCTTGATTTCTTGTTAAAAATACCAAAAAAAAAAAAAAAAACACTGCAAACTTCCATATATGTTAAGAAAGCTCATTATTTTAACCAGGTTTCCCAGAATGTATTTCTTTCAACTTGGGACCACTTTTGCAGTTGCCACCGCAGATACACAGGTAACACTAGTATTTAAAATTGTTTTTAGATCCCCATTCTCAATTTTCGCACTTCGCAGGTCACAACCAGCCCATACCCTGCACAAGACAAGTAAACATTCATTGTGAGCCTCTCTACAGTGGGATAAACACACCCCCAAATCACTTTACTTTAACTTTTTCCATGAGTTACTTGCACCACTAATTATTGCTTTCCTTTCTGGTCCATCTGATTATCACTGTTAAAATATGTTAACAGCAAACCTCAAGGTAAATATGATAATTTCACTATTACTTGCCTGTTTATTGAAGGACTTGAAATGCTTTAAGGCAATATTAAAATCAAGATGTTTTACTACAATGAAGTTTGTTTTCAGATTAATAGGTTAAGTAATGTACAGAGCAAAAAATTTAAACATAAAAATCCCTAAAATCATATATTTTTATTGGCATTGCTCTCGTTTCTATGGAGATTGATTCACAATATATACTAACTCTGCAATATACAGTACCTCAATTAATAATTGATTGTTTATTAAGCTTTGAGCGGAGAGAGTCAAGGACCATGTAATAGGCAGAGTTCTTCACTGAATACGACGTACTTCAGCCGCTAGATACAGGGCTTCTTACGTTACATAACCTGACGGATGATTCATTCAACTCAATCGGCCATGATGTATAATGATGGATACTAAGAAAATCTCATAAAGTAACTGTTTACAACTAACTACTATGGACTAGATTAAACATCACCTAGTCATATTAGTGGTGAATCTAGGATTATTGACATTGGGAGGGGGTGGCTTGATCTGGGACGCAAATAGAACCCAGGAATTACGTGAGGAAGTGCTACTGTAGATATTAAAACAAAGTACTGCACTCTTAACTACAGTTTGGGAGTGAATTTTTGTTGCGCACAGCATACTGTACTTCAGGAAAGGAGTGGGACTTTATTTGAAGGATGTCCCCTATAGGTAAGTCATAGCATAAAATACTGTAAATGGTTGATAATGTAATCATATCATGCTACATTAAAAAAAAACATACTATTCATTACTCAAAATCATTTATAGGCAACATTACAGATATAGAAATCAAATAATTATAATTGTAAATATTCATTTGAAAAAAAGCTGTGTACACCAAGAAGGTGGTGTCTCTCCATGTACTAATTTAAATATCATACTAATTTAAATATTAAGTCATGTGACGGCGATGATGGATGACAGAATGATGAAGAAGATGGAGAAGTTGACAATGAAGCGACAGTGATGACGACAATGATGGTAATACTGTATCAATGATGATTATGATGATGTCAATGATATAATGATAAATGATGATATTGATGATCACTACCAAAAATTTAAGACTTAATTTTCTAGCACCTCTACAAAGATTATTAAAAAACGAGGACTAAAATCACAAATTTTACTTTTAAACTTTCAAATTCAAACATGTAATTCCAATAATGCAGCTTTGGGGACAGTACCAAAAGTGTTATTGGAATATGAGAATGAAAAAAATTGAGAACATAAAACGAAGCCGGTTAATTTATTTTTAATCCATCTTGACTTGGACGGATATTTAGTCGTGATTGGCACGTTTGCCTTGCAAAAGATCTCTTCAATACAATCATTATCACACATTGCGGTCTCCTGTGTAATTTGATTGTTAAGTAGAAAATACATTTTGGCAAGGGAAGCAGCAATACAAATTCAAATTCTGAGGGAAGGTAAGTACAGGTAGAGTTCAAACGACTTGTAATAAATAGTCATTTCTCTGGTATATAGATCATTGACGCCAATACTTATTAACAGTATCATTATTGATCCAGCCATATTTCTGTGCCCCTGCAAAATAATAGTTTTTAGTAAGTGTTCTTTCATATTACTGATCTTGTGTATATTATAGTTTGAAATTGTAAAATGTTGCTTGGCATTTAATTTAAAAATAAAATTTTAATGTTTTTAAACATTAGAAACAATCTTATCGAGATCTTTGCTCCTTGTAAACACTATTGTTTTTTTAGAAACAATCTCAATTATTGATACAAAATAATGAATAAAAAGTATAGCCACGTTAGTCTGATACAGTATAGAACAATATAAAGTAAATGACAGCAGCACTTTTGAGACTAACAATGTAGAATTTATTCTCTAGCTTTCGTCCACACAGTGGACTTCATCAGGAGACTATTTACAAAATAGTTTACATTAATTACCTTCATGTTTTCAGTTAGTATCTTCAAATTGGGATTGTCCTATAGACACATCCAATTTAGGGGGCACTTTTATGATTCCATAGAGTTTTAACTGTTTGTCTCTTTCCATGCAAATTTTGGAATCTTATGTCAACTATACTTCGTACAAGCAATCTATGGCCTAAATATAATATGATAATTATAACAAAATTAATATAGGCCTACAGTACATTACAGTAGTTAAAACTTTCACATACAGTATTGAAATTTAGAATTCATTTTATTTTCATGTTTTACTACAGTCTATATAACTCAAATTTACCTATCTTTAGAGTTAAAGTGCACCTAATGCCATAGCCCAGCTATTGGGATAGTTGGGACAGTGCCACACAATTTTTCTATTGGCGCCACAAAGAATGGGTCCACATTTAAAAAATGGGTCCTGATTTCTCATATTTTGTTTAAAATGGATCGACTTTTAAGAAAATGGGTCGAGTCTTCTGATATTTTGATTAAAATGGGTCAATTTTTCAGGAAATGGGTCCAGATTATTCATATTTTTGCGTAAAATGGGAGAAATTTTAGGAAAATGGGTCCACATTATTTGAATTTACGCGTAAAGTGGGTCCACCCTGATATTGTCCCGCACTTTTTGAAAATCCTGGCTACAGCATTGAGTGCACCCTTTGTGAAACATTAATAAAATACTTCAGTATAAACAAACAGTTTTTTTTTACTGTAAATTAACAAAATGTTTTAGCAACTATATGTGGTTGCAATGCAATACAGTAACACTCAAGACTATTCCACAAGCAATATTTATTTAACTAAAGTGTGACTGACAATGTCACTGAATACTGTATGTGTTGACAAGTAAAATCGGTAAAATTAAATATGCCTATTATAACGCGAGTATTATTAAATTATTTTATTATTAAATATGATAACCATTCACAATGCAACATAAATAATACTTCTGGTAAAATTAAGCATAGTAAAGCAAATTGAAAATAACATTGAATATTCATAAGGTAATTAACATAAAATGGTTAAAATCAGTACAATGTATAATTACGAGTATTAATAAATAGCATCTTATTTGAGCTGGTCAAACCCATTCCTACAGAACAACTTTCTGCTCCCCACATCAAGACTTCATTTTATTTAGGTTTTTAGCAAATGATTTTTCTGGTCGCTTCTGCAATAGCAGTTTTGTCAGTGTCTCACCAGGGGGTTGTTATTTCACGAAGAGACAAACACCAGCGCAAAAATCCACACACCACCACATAATACGTTGTGCATGGTGGTGTACGGGATAATCGGCCATATTTTTTTTGGTCACATGCATAACTTAACGCTGATTAACGCATTCTGGTTACGTTAATTTTCGTTGTCAACGAAGTCCATTTTACCCAGTTGAATGAAAATAATACTCAACGAAAATTTGTACTCAACAAAAATTTGTACTCAACGAAATGAACCAGTCGAATAAGCCCATTAATAGTGGTGTGTGATGTGCTATGTGAGATTCACCAATTTACATTTAATTACCAGCAATTAAAACATACCGGTAGTAAACTTTTCTTCCGAAACACTATACCCATCATAACACCCATGCCATGCATCACACTGAGCACTGACAGCTATATGATATAGATAATATAGGGATAATAATGACGATATTATCAACAAAAGAAATATACCAGTGACATCTACGACTAAGGGAAAGCTTAACGTGTAGGCCTGTAGTATTTCCTAGTTCAGGAAATCCCTTACGTTGGTACTGTACTGAATTAAACTTAAGATCATGAATAAATATCTATCATTTTATATTTGACTAGGCTTACAGGATAAATCTAAGAATCATCTAGGCTGGCTTACCGTTACTGCATATGAAAACAAACACAAAACACCAACACAATGCATGGAAATAGGTAAACAAAAACAAATGTAGGCCTACTTACAATTTTTCTGTTGAGGATATCTAACTCCTTTTCTGTGATTTTCCGCTTTTCTTTCTTGTCCTTTTCGCTTCTTCTTAGTTGTTGATACCTATAAACTAAATAGATACCAGGTATCGCTAATCCTAGAACTGGCTTTAGTACCGAGGAATTCATCCCAACAGATTAAGATATTATTACACGATGTAGCATTTGGAAGACTTATTTATATAAAATGTCAGCACGTCGTCGCTTCCTTTGATGGGCACGAGAATATGTTGATTCCGCGTCTGGTTGTCTAGTTGCTGTCTTGCTCACTGCTGTTAGTACATCTCAAATCCGAAGTCGTGTCAATTTGGTAGATAAACTAAAGAGGGCGGCAGATATATAATTGTTATTGTCTGTATACGTTGTAAACTCTCCTGCGCTTTTTAATATCTTTATAAATGAATTAACTAAAAGTTTTAAATCAAATGATCTTGCCACAAGAATTAATAATATATGGGTTGGTAGCTTATTTTGGACCGATGATGCTATGCTATTAGCTAACATTGAAATGGAAATGAAAAGAATGCTAGAGCTTGTTGTACATTTTGCTAAGAATGGAAATTGAATTTCAATTATAAGTCCAATGTACTGATTACTGGAAAACGTGTTGATAAAGAGAAGAAATGGAAATTATGAGAGGGCTTTATCACAGAAACTGAATCGTACAAATATCTGGGTGTACACATATCTCGAAAATTAAATTACCATGTTTGTTTGTTTATTTGTTTGTTTATTGTTTTGTTTTGTTTTTTTTTTCAATTTGATATCGTCATGAAAAAAGGTCTCCGATTATTAGCTTAGTATTGTGTGGTGTAAAACAAGTAGACATGATACAACCAAATTAGAGCGCCTACAATTACAAATGGTGCATTATATCCTAAAAGCTTCTAGATATACATCGAGTGCAACTTTATACGGAGAGCTTGGTTGGTCACCAGTTGACGACTTGCACGAAATTTCCCGCATTAAATACTTGAGCAGAATCTTCTATAAGCACCGTCATTTCGTTGGCCCAAGCTGCTACTCCTAACTATGCGACAACTTAATTCTGATCCAAGAGAGTTAAAATATAAATTTCTTGTCTGCTTAAATGATTCTTTTATAACATGTGATTGTTAATCAAATCATGGAGGTATAAATGATCAAATGATATCTTCGACGCAGTGCTAACTAATGATGTATTTACTTATTCAAGCTCATTTTTACGAAAAATGGATGATATTAGGGTTAACAAATAGAGAGAGGATGTACAAAGGAAGCATCCTACGTCATAGTTACCAACCTGAGAGATTTGAAATGCGTGAGTGGCTACACCAGTTGGCCGGGGGAGGGGATGGGTCCAGGGGTGGCCCGCGGCGCTCCGACGATCTGAGAATTTTATGTCTTTTTAAAACGATTTCAGGGAGTGTTTGTTGACAAGAACAAAATATTTTTAATAAAGCCACGTACAATTTGAGTTTCAAGGTACATACTTTTAATTTGAGCACCCCAACTATGTAGACACACAAATATTTCTTTACTGATCAACTTTTAGTGGCGTCAGTGAAATAAGTATTCACGTAAATACTGTACACTCTAATGACTCAAGTTACCAATTTCATCTAATTTTAAATACATTCTTAACTGAAATCGTGATAATATACTTGTGCTAAATGCGTGACAAATTTAGGATCACGCATGTGTTTCTGCAAAATGCGTGTTTCATCCAAAATCACTTTGAATTGCGGGACCGTCCCGCACGGCGATGCGAGACGGTTGGTAACTATGATATGTGATTTAAATTCTGATGAAGGCACTCGCCATTTCCTTTTTATTTGCCCAGCTTTACAAAGTGTACGTCTGGAGGAAACAAATAAATTACAAATCAAATTAGACCTACAATATATGGCAATCGAGATTTATTTACATAGGCCTATATTACGTCAAATGTGAGCATAAAACTTGAGTATATCCTGGGCTGTCCAACATTATTACGCCTACTTGGCAGTGAACTCGAAGATATCTTTGATAGAATTGTGTAAAAGGTTTCTTAAAATGGCTTGGAAACTTAGAAATGATTTTCTAAATTCTTTGCCCTAATTCCATACCTTTTCGGCTTGTTTTTGTTTTGTTCCATTTCTGCATTTCATGTTCAGGTTAAATTTTTAATTAGGCCTATTCCAAATCCGTAACTTGTTCTATTCTCAAAGTAAAAAAAATATACTCATTGGGATGGGGACATTTGAAGTATTGTCTCAGTTAACTCTGTGGGTTGGAAAGGGGACAGACTTTGAGCATATTATAGATGAGGGAAATGTATGCTTTCAGGGATGTTCGGTGTTCTGAACATCTTAGTTGTTTTTTAAATTTTAATTTATTTGTTTTCAAGTTTAATTCATTTTCCTTTGTGATTTACTGCATTTAGAATTTTTAGTTTCGAGTTTTGTTGACTTCGTATTATATATTTACTTTTAATTGAATAAAAGTCGCGCAGGGGATTGACATGGCCATTTCGTCCGTTATTTCGTTTTTATTGAGGCATCATTTCATATAATACTTTGATGAGGGTGGGTGTTGGATAGGGGTGGCCTTGTCAATTGCTTAATTGAAGTTTATTCAACTTGTTTTTAAGACTTTGTTTCTTTAGTGTATTCTGTTTGAAGTTTTTTGCCATTTAAGTTATGTTTCTTTTATTTTTGGATGCACCTTTACCATGTAAAGTGTGCACTGTTTCAAAAGTGTATTTCCGAATAAATTATTATTATTATTACTCCTAATGATCACGTAGTTTTATATTTATATTTTTATGTATATTCGTATTTATTATATTCTGTATCCATTCCGTATATGGTAGGCTACCCGCTATTGATTGAAATGTGATATAAAATAAAAAGGATTCGACACTATTTCCATCTTCCATGACTGAAACTTTTTCTTAGATTCTTTTAAGTTTTGCTGTCTATTTTTCAGACAAAAATAAGCAATTTAATACCGTAGTATAGTTGCGAATCATACACTAGTGGAAATTATTATACGGTTAGATTAATGCATTCAAAAGTACCTTCGGGCCTTACAGCCACTCAGGGGTTTTTTTCATGCAGCAATCTAACCTTCGTATAATAACTTCCACTAGTGTATAGTACACAATTATATTAAATTGCTTATTATTTTTGTATACGGCAAAACTTTGAAGAATCTAAGAACAAAAATATGTATAAAAAATTCCTCTAGCATATAGATAAGCACTATACTAACTGCTTATAGTGATACATACAGTGAACAACAACTACTAATATCGTGATAATCCCAGAATGGTGCTCCCAATATTGGGCGGCAAACATGTCACTACAATATATATATA